ATGTAGCATCCTAGACTAAATGAACTAAAATATAGTACTGAGTTCAAAATGTAGTAGATATGTAGCTGACTAAAGTAAAAATAATATGCAATTAGCGATTACTACCTTTGCTTAGGCGAGTTTTACATTATTACAGAACTAGTAGAAGCTTAATTGTAGCAGTTCGCTGCGACTGCTACAGCAGATCTTACATTAGGCAACACATGCCACAGTGACCAACTACAAAATGAAATAAACTGTTTTGCCAGAGTTACTCATGGTGCCTGGTGGGTGGGATTTACCTTGTTTTATATAACCAAACTTATTCAATATTTTAAAAATTAAAAAAAAAACTGACTGATGTTACCGTCTACCGCGTCTTTCCCTTTTTTTTTGTAAGAAGAAAAGATACGAAATTCTATGATTGGATTTTTGGAGACCTATTATTTCATTACTTTTTGTTAGGTACTTATTTGTTAACAAAAATTGAAGATTAAATTTATTTTTAAATTCAATGGCTACAAAGGTTCCGTTTATCGTTGTCAAATCGGAATGTCAAATTTTCAATTTCGCAGTATATGTACAAAATCATTTCAAATGCATTAATATAAAGTATACCTTAGATTATTGTATCTTTCTAGAAATTTAGAGCAAGTGGAGCAATTTGAGAAATTAATACAAGAACAAGAAGAGTTGCAGAAAAACTATGAGAACCAAAAAGAAGAGACGAAAACAGTTATACGGCATGTCGGTGCGTGTTTGGACAGCTTATACAGAGGCATACATCCGCTGTCCACTGTCGAACAAAATTCAAAAATGGCGTTGCAAAGAGTCGAGGCCGAACTTTGTGAGATAATTTCAGAATTAAATCAAGCGAAACCTTCCGTGAAGTACCCTGCAATGGTAAAGTATCCAAATACTCACTATGCAAAAATTGTATAAAATACATTGAAATCCATTCAAATTCATAATTAATTTTGCTAGATATAAGACAAGACAAGACTTACTACAGTGCACGAAACTTTGTTATAGATTGAGGTGTTGGAGATGGATGAGGATAAGTGGTTACCACCACCCTATGGAGGCTTGGTAGCAAGAACTCCAGTTCCTCAAGAAGAGTCACCTATCCCACAACCAATTGGTTAGTATGAATTTGATTAAGCTTTTTTAGATCTAACTGGAATCAATTTCCAAGTTGGTTCTACAATCGGTTTGGCATCTTAGCTAGGCTAGCTGTGGTGAGTGAATGCAACGCTCGAGGCAACGCTATTTGATTTAAATGAAACTGTTGAGTGCGAACTAAAAGAGGCGCAACTTTATTAAATTAGATGACACTTGTTAAAAGGCACCGAGATTGCCGCAGTTGTAGTAAGCGTTCATGTTGTTGAGTTGAGCGACGATTAAGCATCATAGCACAGAAATATACTCAGACTTTTTTTTAATTTGGCGGCTTTGCGGTGTCTTACTACGCAAAGTAACTAACTCACCGATGAACCTTCGCGAAATCAATTTGTGCCAGTTTATGTTCATTGCATTAGCATTCCATTTTTCAGTTCTCTGCATCAGAGTTGTGGAAAGCTTCGGTGAGTGAGATGAGGAATATGTATCGCAAATTTATATTATATTTGTGCCTCTTTATTGTTTCTCACTCAACGCTGAAACTTAATTTATCTTTATTTATCACTGAGGGGTTTATGCAATTCACAGTTGGTGTTGCTTAGTTAAACCACAGATAAATTTTGGGTATTTTATCTGTGGTTAAACATATCCTCCATATGCCATTTAATTATTTAAATGTAGACACAATTAAACTTTCAATCGTTGAGCATAATTATAAATATAAAACAAATACATATACAAAAGATAAAATACAAGGATTGAAGTTTCTGTAATTACTTAACGTCCGACGAACCAAATTTCAAAAATTTCACACACTTAAGGGTAGGTATATCTTAAGAGATAAAGATTGGTGATCCCCTCGGTCATCCCTTAAAGTAAACTAAATCTTAAGATAAATGAAATACTTGCATAAACACCTTGAACTTGAAGTCCTTCTGTTTCATCTTATAGGTAAATTAAATAGCGTTGCACAAACCACAAACCCATCATACTTATCATTACACACAACTCAAATATGTGGGTAAAATAGGGTTTTATTTGTGTTTAGGATCTGATGATGATGAAGAAGTGCCGACTCGAGGTTACCTTAAACGTCAAGCTCAATTGGTAGTTGATGCGAGATTGAGGAGAAAAAATATACGTTTTCAAAGAAAATAAAAACCTCTTGAAGCTACATTCTAGTTAGGTGAATTATGTGTAATTGTATATATAACTCTCGCCAGGAAAGATTACCGGTCACAGCACACCTTGTGTCGATTTACAATCTATGTTTTTCTTAAGATGCGAGCGACTTCCGGAATAGGATCGCGCCAATGTTTAATGAAAAGTCTTTTTGTTCAACATTGACACGATACTGTGCGATCAAAAATGAGTTGCTGTCGAGTCGCCTTTGGAATTTTTGTTGACATGGCAAATCGTACTTAACTTGAACTTCCAAAGGCGACTCGACAGCAACTCATTTTTGATCGCCCGTTACTATCCCGGAAGTCGCTCACATCTTTAGAAAAACATAGATTGTAGACCAGGATCAAGTGTTCTATGACCGGCAATCTTTCCTGGCGAGAGGTTTACTACCCACACATTTATAAGATTGCAGTAGAAAACGTGGTTTGCCATTTAATTATTGTAAGAGATATGTATATCTAGTTCCTTAATGGTGAACATCTAAATGAATAAATAACGATTTTAATATTTTATGGGATAAAGGGTCCTATTCTTGAACTTGTGACTTCCGTGTGAGTGAGTGAATATGACGTCATGTCGAACGATTTTCATACTTATATATAATCTACCCATATGGTTTTTTTAGATACGACATGCTTAGTATACACTATACAGCCATTTCGTGCTACGTTTTCGACTTAGACCGTTCTGCGCAGATGCCGAAGACCAAGGCATTTTTATAACGAAGCTTGTTTATGTATTTATTTCTCTAGGTACTCACGAGGAAGTTTATTATCAGTGTGATGGTGCTCAGCTTGATTAGATCTAACTGTTTCCGTGAGAAAAGTACTTAATAGTTAATACAGTCCGATGCTTTGCTGTATTTGTTACTTTCTTACCTCTGGCCCGCTACCGGACGGTGCGTAAGCTATATGAGAATTAAAGGGCCCTCTAACGACAGTTTTGCCAGAAACGATCGAAAGCGTCAATAGCGACACATAAATTAAGTAATACTACTTACATAAATTTAACCCTGAGAAGGGGGTGAAAAGCACCCCAAAAATGTTAAATGGGAAGGGGTAGTAAATGTTAGATAGGTCGAAAGGAATGTTCATTATGTTTCAGAACTGTTTTTATTTTTCAAATCCGATATCAGTAGTTCCAGAGAAAACTCGACTTAAATGGATTTGCAGAGCCGTTTTAAATGTTTATTAAGTAGGCGTTGAAGCTGAAATAATTGAGCTTGTGAGTTGTGTCAGAAAAGAACATCTGACATAAGTGCAATATACACAAGCAATGAAGCGAATTTGTGATTAACTTGTTTAATTTTGTGGTAAATTCAAAAACAACGAAGGTTTACATTATAGCTCAAAGGGTGGAAATTGTTTCGATTTTTTTAAATGGCGATTCTGCCTTCACAAATTCGCTTCCTGCAATCCCGCACCAAAATTTCAATCCCGGTATTTGCGGGATCATCAGATAGTAATCCCGCTGAATCCCGGTATTTGCGGAATCCCGCAAAATTTTAAAAACATTCGGAAATAAGCAATTTTGTGCAGTTAACGGAATATTCTCAAGAAAACACATTGCTTTTCGCGGAAAGAATGCATCACCTCCGCCGTCTTCTTGTCGCCGATGAGTGATCTTTTATGGCCCCTCATGTCTATTTGAATTTCTAGAATATTCGCTGCAATATTTCCATACGGCTACTTCACTACTAAAGTCTTTTATAAACAATCGACGAGTCCGACATTGTCTACAAGAATAACGGTTCGTGCGTTTGAAAACAGTAACAAAATAAGTCCGATTTGCGCACTCACTTGCTGTTTAACAAAGTTAATAACAGATACGGGTTTGCGCGTAATTATTGCATGAACTGCAACAACAAAAACGTGTGAAGTAAACAAATTCGCAGAGGTGCTAATGATGGGGGTAAGCGAAAATCCCGCCGGATCCCGCTCCATTAACGTACGGGATTAATCCCGCAAAAAGACTGCGATCTCGGTATTGCATTCCCTAGTACGCACTAAGGTGAATCAAAAATTCAAATGCGAGACGTTCGCAAAATGGTACAAACATGCGTATACAAGTGGCACCACGCTCAGAAAGTCCCTGACAGGGCGTGTCCGAGGGCGCTAGAAATTTAGTCTTGAAAAAGACGAGTTTGTATAAAACTGGAGACGGAAAACGTGAAGTAAAGTAAATACAAGAAGCAAAGTGTAAGCTAAAATAACGTAAAGCGTCAACTGTCAAAGAATAATTAATAATATGGCGCGGAATGTATCGCGTAATTTTGCAGAATTTCTATTGGCCAGCCTGAATTATTTCAAAATTAGTTCGCATATTTTCCGGGGCTTTTCTGAGCATGGTGGCACTGTGCTATATGCGATGAAACATGAGTTGCTGTCGAGTGTCGAGTCACCTTTGGAATTTTTGTTTACATAGGAAATCGTACTTAAACGTGAACTTCCAATGCGACTCGACACCAATGAATAAAAATTTATTCATTGCTCGACAGCAACTTATTTTTGATCCTTGCTACAGTGCGTTCCAGCCCCCCCCCCCCCGAGTGTTCATTTTTCATCAAATTTCTGTCGATCTCATTTCCATTATGCGAGATTTCTTTTATTTTTTTCCTTGTTGGGACAAAGTTCGGGTTTGGGCCCCTCCCTACCAAATCCTGACCGCACTGCTGCTACCACGTGCACGTGAGATAAAAGGCCTAAACTCCGTACAATCTGCGCATGCGAAAGAAACGTCAAAGTTGCAATGTTATTAATTAAAATGTAGGTTAGGTTATTGTTTTCATCACAAGCTGGTATCTGTTATAATGAATAAACATATTCGTAAATCGTAATGTACATTTAAACTCACAGACTTTTGACGTTGTTATACCAAGAGCCATGTTTCGCTGCGGCAGTATAAAATTCGAAAAGGACAGTATAAGCCCCATGTTCACAAATCGTAACCCAAGACATTTCAAATACCTACGAATCGCTAATAAACCGGACGGCTACTACGGTGATAAAACTGGAACGCTCCTACTGGCATAAATATACAAATTTGCATTCCTACCGCCTCCAATAAGACAGCCCGATTGTAGATGACAACCGACACAAACAGGCCGTCACGTAACTTCATTGTTCGTGCATTACATCAACGGACCCGACACTCACCGCTAGCACGAAGGAATGGGCCATCAAAACCAGGCTGTATAAGACCATGCATCAAGTCGTTGGCGTACGTGAACGTCACACGGTCACGTCCCTGCATTCAATTTAATGTGTGCTACTTTTAGGTTTCAGTTCTTCGTACAAAGATACCTTGCAAGCGGTCCGACAGAGTTTATGTGCGATTGCAAACCCGAACACAACGGCAGTAAGGTCACAAAGTTTCTAACGTGCTCCAAGATTTCAATTTGAAATTGTCTGAACCGGAATAGTCAAGAGAGCCGTGGACGAGAGAAAGATTACCAAACCCGTGGGATATAATCTGACTTGACAGATAATGTGAATCGATCTTAAATTGTGGACCTATTAGGTAAATAGCTGCATAATTTACAAGTTTTATTTGTACTTGTGCTTCCATAGTTTCTGTAAAGAGAAGGCTGAGTATTGGGTCGCTGCAATGAAGTGATAGAAAGCCCTACGTTCAGTCTGTCGAGATGCTTCCCTGTTTCTAACTCAAAGGTTCTTCCAAAGAAGGTGCTTATTACTAATTTCTAGATTGCATGAAAAACCGTTTATTTGATTTTTTAAGAAGAAGTTAATGGGTTTCAAGAACAATAAATTTGATAAATATGTAAACTTTTTATTGCTTACCAATATTTTAAACATTAAATAATAATAAATTACACAATAATAAAAAGGGCACCTTAGTTATAGTGAATTGGCAATTTCAAATTGAAATCTTGGAGCACATTAGAAACTTTGCGACCTTACTGACGTTGTGTTCGGGTTTGCAATCGCACATAAACTCTGTCGGACCGTTTGCAAGGCATCTTTGTACTAAGAACTGAAACCTACAAGTAGCAAACATTAAATTGAATGCAGGGACGTTCACGTACGCCAACGACTTGGTGCATGGTCTTATACAGCCGGGTTTTGACGGGCCATTCCTTCGTGCTAGCGGTGAGTGTCGGGTCCATTGATGTAATGCACAAACAATAAAGTTAAGTGACGGCCTGTTTGTGTCGGTTGTCATCTACAATCGGGCTGTCTTATTGGAGGCGGTAGGAAAGCAAATTTGTATATTTATGCCAGTAGGAGCGTTCCAGTTTTATCACCGTAGTAGCCGTCCGGTTTATTAGCGATTCGTAGGTATTTGAAATGTCTTGGGTTACGATTTGTGAACATGGGGCTTATACTGTCCTTTTCGAATTTTATACTGCCGCAGCGAAACATGGCTCTTGGTATAACAACGTCAAAAGTCTGTGAGTTTAAATGTACATTACGATTTACGAATATATTTGTTCATTATAACAGCCTGTGATGAAAACAATAACCCAACCTACATTTTAATGAATAACATTGCAACTTTGACGTTTCTTTCGCATGCGCAGATTGTACGGAGTTTAGGCCTTTTATCTCAATCTCAACGT